TCTCATTCTGGGGTGGGATTTCTTGTCTTCTGCGTCCGCTTTCATATTATGTCATCAGCGCCTCCTGTATCTAAATACCACTGACTGTTCTCCGCTTGAACAAGATGGACGCATCTGCCTTGTCACCACGTCAGATTATGTACTTCGGCCATACATCGAAGAAATTGTAAGTGTTAATTGCACCGACATTGTAGATGGTGACGTACTAATTCTCCCTTACGGCCATACCCTACGTAGGGGCATTGTGATGACACCAGGGCTTATTCGCTTCTTCGATGGGTCTACGTTTCCAACCGCCATAAATCAAACGCCCGAGTGTGTACCGCTCCCCTGTGGCTCAGCAGTATCTTGCGCGATCAACAGTGAGCCTGTTGCGATTGTTACTCTTCCGAACAACAACCACAACGATGTCCCAAAGTCACAATCACTGCCATTCAATGCCTCTACCACACCTGTGTCGGCGACAATAAGCACTGATTTAACACCTGATAAAACTGAAGATTTACTAGTCCTGTTAAATAGACACCGTTATCTATTTGACGTGAACTCGCCCGCCCTCAGCATGACTACCACTGCTACTCACAGCATCCAGACTGAAGGCTCTCGTATTGTACATCGGCGTCCATATCGCGTGTCTCAGGCAGAACGCAAGATCATCGAGGAAAACGTCGCAGACATGCTACGACGCAACATCATACGTCCTTCCTCGAGTCCCTGGTCATCGCCAGTTGTTCTCGTTCAAAAGAAAGATGGGACAATGCGTTTCTGCGTCGATTACCGTGCGCTAAACAAAATAACGCGCAAGAATGTTGATCCTCTCCCTCGGATCGACGATGCACTGGATTCATTACAGGGCGCAGAGTACTTTTCTAGCCGCGACCTTAGGTCAGGCTACTGGCAGATACCAATGTTGGAGTCTGATAAAGAGAAGACCGCCTTTTCAACACCAGATGGGTTGTACGAGTTTAATGTGATGCCTTTTGGACTCTGTGATGCGCCCGCCACCTTAGAACAGATGATAGACGGCGAATTGCGTGGTTTGAAATGGAAAACATGTCCGTGCTATCTCGATGACATAGTGGTGCTTTCATCCACGTTCTCGCAGCATCTACAATGTCTTGACGAAGTCCTCACAAGCCTTGCAAAAGCCGGTCTGCAGCTTAACACCAAGAAATGTACATTTCCTAGCAAGACAATCAAGGTTTTCGGCCACCTTGTCAGCAAAGAAGGAATTTGGACCAACCCCGAAAAGCTTGCCGCCGTCCTCAATTTTCCTCGTCCACTACGTCAAAAGGACCTGCGCAGCTTTCTTGGGTTATCTTCTTACTTCCGGCGCTTCATACGTGGCTTCGCGGAACTTGCGTCTCCGCTCCATCAACTCCTCGCAAGGAACGTCCCCTTCATTTGGCCCGAAGACTGCGAAAGCGCTATCACGGCTTTGAAGCAAGCCCTCACGCCGGATCCGGTACTGTGCCACTTCGATTCCACCGCACCAACCATCCTTCACACCGGCGCAAGTAGTCATGGTCTCGGTGCGGTACTCTTGCAGCGTGACAAAAACACACGCGAACGCGACATTGCTTACGCAAGTCGTGCTCTTACCGCTCCAGAAAAGAACTACACTATCACCGAACAGGAGTGCCTTGCTGTTGTTTGGGCAGTGCAAAGATTCCGACCATATCTTCACGGCCGTCATTTTACCGTCGTGACCGACCATAACGCCCTATGCTGGCTTTCATCGCTGAAAAACTTATCGGGTCGCCTCGGTCACTGGGCGCTTCGCTTACAGGAATATGATTTTGATGTCGCCTACAGATCTGGGAAGAAGCATCAAGATGTTGATGCTCTATCGCGCTGTCCTTCGCCCAGCGGAAGCCACTCACCATCGATACTCCAAAACGACAGCACCTCTCCAATCGCAGCGCTAAGTTCATCACCTGCCACCCTATCCGTCCTTGTTTCACAACAACGTGTCGACCCATACTGCCGCACCATTTTTGACCGCTTGACCGGCTCTACTACTCCTCCAAACGCCAGACTCCGTCGACAACTTAAACAATTTAAGCTTGTTGGTGATGCTTTATGTCGCTACACTTACCACATCGATGGCAACAAGTGGACAACAAGTGGGTTATCCCACGTTCTCTGCAACGTGAAGTTCTGGAAGTTTTCATGATGATCCAACCGCCGCTCATCTAGGCTATCACAAGACTTACGACAAAATATGAAGTCGATGTTTTTGGCCTGGCCTCTCTTCAGCCGTCGCTAAGTACGTCGCCTCCTGTGTCCATAGCCAAAGGCGAAAACGACCGACAACTGCTCCGGCTGTCTTAATGCAACCTCTTGCTTGTCCCACCTCGCCTTTTGAAGTCGTTGGAATCAACTTGTACGGCCCTCTTTCTATATCATCCAATGGTAATCGCTGGATTGTCACGGCCGTCGACCACGTTGCCCGCTACGCAGAAACAGCTTCTATACCATCTGGGATTGCCAATGAGATCGCCGATTTTTTTCTTCACCACATCTTTTTGCGTCACGGAGCTCCACGCATTCTCCTGAGTGATCGTGGCAAAGTCTTTCTCTTTTCCATTGTCGAGCAAGTTTTGCGTGCCTCGAACACTGTTCACAAGACCACTTTTAGCTACCACCCGCAGACCAACGGATTGACTGAACGGTTTCGTTGGACCTAATCGGACATGATCGCCATGTACATTCACCCCAACCACACGACTTAGAATGCAATTCTACCCTTCGTGACATTCGCCTATAATACGGTTGCTCAACGCTCTACCGGCTTTTCTCCATTTTTTCTCGTCCATGGTCGCTCGCCGAGTTTCACTCTAGATGTCTCTTTCCTTTCGGCCCCTGCACCCTCGACGGCTCCTTTCTCTGAAGAATTTCCATCTCGTCTCGCACACTGCCGTCACCAGGCCCGTGTTAACACCGGCCCCTCTCAAGACACTCGAAAATCTCGCTACGACTCGTCTCGCCACGTTGTGAGTTTTTCCCCTGGTGATAGGGTTCTTCTATGGACTCCACTACGCGTCCCCGGCCTATGCGACAAATTCATCAGTCACTTCATTGGGCCGTACACGGTGGTCGAACAGACATCTCCTTTATATTACCGCGTTTCTCCTCTAAGCGCTAATCCTGATCATTGTTGCCGAGGAACAGAGATAGTGCACGTATCTCGTTTAAAGCCTTATGCGCGACGCGTTTCAAATACTGTCGACTAGGCGGCCGCTTTTCAAATTATATATATATATATATATATATATATATATATATATATATATATATATATATATATATATATATATATATATCCTTCGTCAGGCATATATACGTATGCCCTGACGAAGGCCGGTCCCCGGTCGTAACGTTGGCAATAAAGCATCGTTTTTCGTTTGCTCGTTTGCTTCTTCTGGTGACTTATAACTCGACCGGAATCCAGGAAGACTTTCACGAAATATATATATATATATATATATATATATATATATATATATATATATATATATATATATATATATATATGCAAGAAAGAGACGACGAAACTTTCCTGGAAGCGTCTTTACTAAACGTTTTCAACTGGTGGACCAGCCTTCGTCAGAGTGAATTGATATATTGAATATATATTGAATATTGAATATGTCGTAGTATTCACCCTGACGAAGGCTGGTCCACCAGCTGAAAACGTTTAGTAAAGACGCTTCCGGGAAAGTTTCGTCGTCTGTTTCTTGCATACAATACGTCGGGTCCAGCGTGAATGACGTTCAAAGAATCTATCTATATATATATATATATATTCTGTGGTGGCAGGCATCTAAGGAAATTGAAGTCATTATTTACAGTGGTCATTAGAAAAGCTAAGTAATAACCTTTATTAATTACTGGAGTTCGGCAGTGTTAGGTTAAATGAGAGAATCGAACCCTTGATTATAAAAATTCATAGGCACTTTGACATTTCAGAAAAGCGGTATCAAGTAATAAGTAAAAAATCGTGAAATTCTCCTAAATGCTGTGGCTAAACCAAAACCAAAGGACTGAAGACGCAACAAGCAGACGGCTACAATGACGTTACTGTTCAAAACAACGGTTACAAGGGTGCAATTCTTTCCCGTTCAATAACCCATGTGCATCCTGAATGCTGCAAGTGCGAGTGCGGCCCATAAATCCACATCACGAACTTGGTTGAAGGTTGATATAACAACGCTCCTGCATTTCAGTTGCGCCCTTTCGCGCATCGGCTTCGGCTTCGCCGCTGACTTGGCAAGAATTTCATTACCTCGCAGTTATTACTAGAGGCCGCTTCCTGAAATCTCAAAGCGGCCATCAGTTCTTTGTATGAAGGACTTCGATTGTCCTATCCAACCTAGCTGCCTTAACTCCACTAAATAAAAAGTTAACTATTAAAACTTTTCTAATTACCGTTTCAAATGATATATTGAACCCTCACAAGATGCCTGCCACCACAAAAAAGCAACTGTGAAGACTGTGGGCAAAAGGCGCGTTCTCCTGATTTTTCAAGAATATTGGACACATTTCTTGAAAGACCCTGTATATATAGGCCTGTATATAGCTATGCGGCAATAAGAAAAAAGAGGAAGGTGGAAAAGAGTTTATCGAAACCAATTTTATTGCCTTTCATTTTAGAAGTACGAAACTTTCTATTCCTGACAAACTTCCCACCAGTGTTGTAATAGCTAAATCAGAGTATTACCACAGAAAAATGAGGTCACATTTTTCATAATATGTCGTAGTATTCCACCGGCAGTTTTATCCTCTTAACCAAAGCCACGTTAAATGAAGAGCTGCCTTTCGTCGTTATTTACGCGTTCATGCAACCACTTCTCTTTCAAAGACGCACTACGCGGGGAGCGACAGGAAATGATAGTGAAGCAGTCGATAAGCGTTCTCAGCAGGCTTCCAAGATTTTTATAACTGCGTGGAATCCTTCTCTTCTCAAATAACTTCGTGATATTGTTTTTTTTTTTCAGATGAAGCAATCCAAAAGGAAGGAAGCAATGCGATGAGCAGCACCGCTAAACCTGAGACCATAACATACCGAATGACTGTACTAGACAGCTTACACAATGACACCGAACTCTACAACACGACATCCGGCAGTGTCATAATCGTGGGACGTAACGCGAGGCAGCGCTCCAAGTTCCTTGAGCGAGATCCGACTTTCACGAATGCCGAGTCAAGAACCTCCAGTTTTCGCAAGTCGAAAATCCTCGACATTCATGGCGACCCGGCCACGAGTGGCCGCAACGGCCGTTTCTCCGACCCAGAACCTGAATCTCGAATTGTGAATGATCCTGAAAGTTATTTTCCCATCAAGGGCTTCATCCCAATTATAGGAGTACCTGAAATGAAGCCCGATAGTTTTCAGCGCGGTTCCCAACAACTTGTGCGCAATGAGTTTTCATCGGCTGGGCCGAAGCGAAGTGGTCCTATCCCACCTGGAGACACAATACCTCCTTCCGCTTACACCGTGCTGAAGCCGCCGAAGTCCTCCAATGGCCTCCCACCAATTGTGCGGCCCGATTGGGTTAAGAAAGAACAAAATGCCGGTGCAGTTAACTTTCGCCCCATAAAGCACATGGACGAAGGACGCGGACCATTCGGCAACGCTGTGGGGCCGACGTACGTGGCTGGTCCGGACGTGGGGTACCCAGTGTCGGAGTGCGTGTGCGTGCCCTTCTACCTCTGCAAAGAGGGCTCCTTGGTGAGCCCCCGGCTGGACCATCAGAGCAAGCCGGGTGCTCCTGTCGGTCTGCTCATACCGATCGACGAGCGCAGCAACGACAGGGATGATGCGCACAATTCCAGTGCTATTGAGTCACGAGTGAGGAGGGACGCTGCAAACCAGGTGAGAACAAGACAGCACTTGATTTCGCATTCCACTTAAGGGGTACGTCTTTACGCCTTACTTCAAATTTGTTCCGACCTAGCGCATTGCACCTAGAACTGCAGAAGACATGTTAAGAAATCACAGCGAACACTTCCCCGTCAGGGGCCACGCTGCATCTGCGTCATTTTTCTGGCATCGCAACATGCCTCAGGGAGCCACGCTAGATATCGAGATTTGGTACTTGATTAACACCAACGCAACAGCCCAATAATGGCTTGGGTTCAGCGCATGCGCCCTGGCTGGTCGCGAGCTTCTTGAATATCAAGCTCTTCCGGGCCCCAATTATCAAACTCTAGAAGCGCAACGAGGATAAGTGAATGACTATTTTTTTAGGAAAGCTGAAGGGCCCTAACACTGCATTTCGAAAGTCGCGGATTTGATCCCGGCTATGGAGGTCGCATTTCAATAGGGGCGAAATGGTAGAGTTGTGTGTGGTGTGCAATGTAAGTGCAAGTTAACCAATAGGGCAAAATTTCCGCAGCCCTCTACTGCGACCTCTGTCGTAATCAAAATTGCGGTATTGTGACGTTAAACTCAAAACTTCAGTATTATTATTATTATTATTATTATTATCATTATTATTATTATTATTATTATTATTATTATTATTATTATTATTAATGTTATTATTATCATTAGTACTTACACGTAAGGGTTTATATTGCGAATGGCGAAAATACGCTTTCTCAGCTCTTTTCAGCTTCTTTCAGGCATTGTAGAAATTACCATAAAAATGTATTTCCTGTGGTCACAAGAATTATAGCCATTATCTAAAGCCAGTTAATGAATGACTCACTGTTTGGTTTTATCAATATTAAGGGAAGCATTTGGTATGCTTGTGCCACTTTTAATGCCGCACAAGTACGTAATCCTGACAAATAAGCTCGCGTATAAGAAACATTTTAATTTTCCTCAATTGCGCAAGAGTCTTCTAGTGCCACCCTTCAGATATTCACGACGTGTAATAATTGTCACTGTTTGCGACGTTCTCGCAGTTTATTGGTGCTTTGAACATGTCGTTCCTGCTGTCCGAATGAATTAGAATCTTCTTGTCAACCTCATCATCATTGAGAGAAATTTCGCAGAAGTTAAAATTGTCATACTGCGTCCCTATTGGCCATGGCTCCAATAGTCGTGTTTTCTCAGTCTTGGCAAATCGGCCCTGCCAGATTGCACGATGTGGCGGGAAGGTTGGAAAAGAAAAACTGTTCACCCTGTGTGTAAAGCAATTTATCCAGAGTAAGGAAATTCATAAGTAATTCTCAGAAAGAGAAAGAAATTGTTCTGATTTGTGCTACAAACGATTCCTTTTTCTTGCTTAACATTTGAGCACGCATTCATCGAACTTGTGCTTTCCATGCGTTTAATGCATATGTTCACCTCCTATTGCAAAATATCGGCTTTGCCATGTGTCCTTCCCACCAGTTGAATATATTGCCGCATTTTCTCCTAATGTTTTTATCACCCCGTTTTACTGCCAGTAATTCTCAGCGCAAACCCCACCTACACTGTTTGAAAAGCTTCAGGATGACAGTAGATGATTTTTATAGAATTACGCCCACTTCTTCAACATTACAGATTATTCCCGAAGCTATGTCGCTGCTAGCAATAACGCTAGAATATTCGATGGTTCGATGGCAAGTATATAAATGCCGACAGGCTTCGCCCATAAAAAAACATACGTAAAGAGTGGACACTTTCATAGGGGCCCTGAGGCCAAGCTACTTCGCTGCTTTCAGCGCCATAATTGGCTGGTCAGATTGATTTGATATTGGTTGATATGTGGGGTTTAACATACCAAAACCACCATATGAGAATGAGAGATGCCGTAGTGGAGGGCTCCGTAAATTTTGACCACCTAGGGTTCTTTAATGTGCACCCAAATCTGAGCACACGGGCCTACAACACTTCCGCCTCCATCGGAAATGCAGCCGCTGCAACCTGGATCTGAACCCGGGACCTGCGGGTCAGCAGCCGAGTACCTTAGCCACTAGACTGCCACATCAGGGCAAGTGGATGGTTAGACCAGATAGTGCCTTCCACATGAATAAAATGACAACATTATTGTTTTCTGATGCTGGTAATTGATCACGGACCATCATGCTCGGAAAGCGAGTCTTTACCACTAGGCTACACACCCATAGTTCCGCAAAGTGAATAAATGTGCAGTGCATCTAAACTGCATGATTTCGCACCTATTGCGCAAAACAAACACAAAAAAACAACACTTTCTAGTAAGACCTAACGTATCTTTGTGGCAAAGCATTAAAAGTCTTCCGCGGGACACGATGTAGAGCAGATATAAAAAATTGCACAAATCAATGAAATTTCTTCTTTGCAGAAATTTGATGCCAATCTTGGGGTTTTCTATGTCTTTCTGAGGCGGCTGTTACATGTCTTGAGAAAGGAGTAAAAGCAAGCATGGGTGCAACATCTAGCGGTTGGTCAGACCGTTTCCTGCTGCACCACGAAAAGGCTGGAGTGGTCACTATTGATTGGGTATTTTTCTCTATGATTCGCCACTTGTCAGTTGATGGATGGCCAATGCTATGTTCGCCGCTATTAGTGCCAGTATATTGCTGTAATCTGACGTTCCTTTGACATGGCAACATGTTCGTCTAGAATAAACAGTTTCAGCTCCGTAATCAAGTCTGCTCCCTTCGTTGACGTCACGAACCCGTGACATCAGGTGGGAAGCTGCTTCGTCCATGTCCAGCGCCACAAGCCATTTCATGCGCGAACCAGAGGACTGTATTTTGTTGTTGCTGCTGTGCTTTATATATTGTACCTATTATTTATTTGCTTTATTATTTTACTTCGGCTTTTGTTACAGCGTCGAGAACATGCCTTTTCCAGAGAGGGGCAACATCGCATTCTTCCCTATCGTTTTTTCATCGCCCTGTTTTAATGCCAGTACTTTTAGCGCAAACCATGCCTACACTTTTCAAGGAGCTTCGGGACAGCACTTGATCAATTTGTTAAGATGAGATCCTCTTGGCCCCGCCGCAGTAGTCTAGTGGCTCAGGTTCTCGGCTAGTGGCCCGTAGGTCGTGGGATTGAATTCCGGTGGCGGCGGCTGCGTTTCCGATGGAGGAGGAAATGAAGGCCCGTGCGCTCAAATTCGGATGCACGTTAAAAAACCACAGGTGCTCAAAATTTCCCGTAGCCCTCCACTACGGCGTCTCTCATAATGAAATAGGGGTTTGGGACGTTAAATTCTACATATTAATCAATCAATGACGCCCACTTCGTGAACATTAAGGATTATCTTGGTAACTACGTCGCCGCTAGAAATAACGCTAAAATACTCTATTACAAGCGTAGAAATGCCCACATGCTTCCCCGCTTGTCAGTTTTCAGTGCCAGTGTCCTGCTGTAATCTGACTTTCTTTTTGCGTGGCAAGAAGTACAGCTCAAATAAACATCGGTTTAATCTTCAACCAGAAGTCTGCTGCCTTCGTTCGCGTCCGGCCTCGTAAACACACACACACACACACACACACACACACACACACACACACACACACACACACACATATATATATATATATATATATATATATATATATATATACAATGCAATGCTGAGTAACTCATGGGACGAATTGCAACTCATGATTACGGGATAGACAAGGAGAGCAGAAAGGTGGGTCTCAAAATTAATCTGCAGAAAACGAAAGTAATGTACAACAATCTCGGAATAGAGCAGCGCTTCGAGATAGGAAATAGTGCACTTCAAGTTGTAAAAGACTATGTCTACTTAGGGCAGGTAATAACCGCAAAAATGAACCACGAGATTGAAGTATTTAGAAGAATAAGAATGGGGTGGAGCACATTCGGCAGGCGCTTTCAAATTATGACAGGTAGATTGCCACTATCCCTCAAGAGGAAGGTATATAACAGCTGTATCTGGCCGGTACTTAGCTATGGAGCAGAAACCTCGAGACTTACAAAGAGGGTTCAGCTTAAATTGAGGACGACGCAACGAGCAGTAAAAGAAAAATGATAGGTGTAACCTTAAGAGACAAGAAAAGAGCAGAGTGGATTAGGGGACAAGCAGGGGCTAAGAATATCAAAGTTGAAATATAGAAGAGGAAATGGACATGGGACGGGCATGTAGCGTGCCGTCAGGATAACCACTGCTAATTAGGGGAACTAACTGGATTCGCAGATAAGCAAAGCGGGTTACAGGGAGACAGAAGGTTAGGTGGGCAGATGAGATTAAGAAGTTTGCGGGTATAAATTGGCAGCAGCAAGCAAAGGACCAGATTAACTGGAAAAACATGGGAGAGGCCGTTGTCCTGCAGTAGACGTAGTCAGGCTGATAATTATATATATATATATATATATATATATAAATATATATATATATATATATATATATATATATATATATATATAGAAAGAGAGAGAGAGAGAGCCCGAGCTATATATAGGTGTATATGATGTGCGGCGGCCACTCGCCTTTTGCCAAGTATCTTGTCCACGAAAAAAATTGCCCAAATCGCAGTGCCATCTCACCCGAAGACTATGTCATCACACACCTGCCTCACGGTTCCAGGTGACAAAACTTTTTGCCTGGTTGACTTGATGGCGAGTGAAACAACAGAAACAGCACAGGAGGATAATTTGCCTCACAAGCCAGCACGTGAACTCTGCTCCGTGATGTCGCAGATATCCAGGAGGACACCAAGTCGCACCTTGACGCTCCCCAAACAGTGTAGACGTTCCCCCTCAGCGCGGGTAGTCGGTATTTGTAACGATGACTTGCAAACGATCTGACCACTTCTCACCAGCCACTACTACTCGCTAGCTTCACACACTGCAAGGTTGCTGTCTTTTGTTTGTCTTCTCTTATAATGGCAGAGTCGTCGAAAGGCTATGGTGAACCCCCGCTCTGTGATGTCTTCCTGATGAACGCCGTGCCACTTTCTCGCTGATGAAGGCCACCAGGTGAC